ATTTGCACAACTAGCTAAAGAGTAAAAAATTTTTGGTTTTAATATTAAGAGACCAGAAGCATAAACATTTAGAGATAAATAAGAGGATATCATTGACATATTGTTGAGGCTTGTCCACTTTTCAATATACAAACTGTCAAGCCTGCTGAAAATGAAATTTTTATTTTGCCAATTCTTTTTGCAAATTGCTTAAAATATAGAGAACCAAATTCCAACATCCCTTCACTTTCAATAACAATGTTATAGACCTTTAGGTTTCTCAGTTGTTTTTAAATTTCTTAATGTAATGCATTGGAACTAATTTCTTTCCACATTTAAATTTAAATTTTAAATCACTAAAGTCTTTTTAAATCCTCTCACTCAGGCACAGGTATGGATAGATAACTGATGTGTGCAGAATCAGAATTATTCAGAAGTCTGTAAATGGATACTTACCTAGTTTTTTCTCTGCTGTATCATAGAATACAGACTTTTCTAATTGGAAAAAGTTAGCCGTCCCAGGTTTTCTGCATATAAACACTCCATCAACATTTTGTTATTAGAGGAGTATTCAAGTTTAGCTATATGTTGATTAGATAATGACTGAGAATGACAGAAAGGTGAGGGAAAACCATTTACACTTCAGTGAGGTGCTGACTTGTGTTTCACAAAGTGTTATGAAAGCTCTCCATGAGGAATCTAGAAGCTGCATTTCTAAAAAGTCCTTGGGTTGTTACACTTTCTGATGATGTATCAATTCAAGTACTTCTCGTTGGAGTTCCAAACTATTCAATGATGCTGAATTAGTTCTTTGTTACATTTTGCAGACCGGTCTTGGTGATGAAATGTGTGCTTTTCAATATTGCTCTCCCAATCCCATTCACAAAACGCAGACAAAAACTATGTGAAAAAGTTGTATTTGTTGACAGTGCATATGCTTTTATTTTTATTACAAACATAGAATATAGTAAAAATTTTCATAGCAATTACACTGCACTAGGTTGTGGGCAGATTCTAATGTTAGTAATATACTGTGTTCACGTGGAGAATTTGAGTATCCAAAGTTTTAATATGTCTGTGGTCCTAAAAACAATACCTTACTGATATTGAGTGACAAATACAACTTCTTATAAGTACAGAAGTTTTCCTTGTATCTTTTTAATATACAGATGGGTTACAGTTACATAAGTAAAGTAATGAGTACACTTCTTTTTTTTTTCTTTATTGTCGGTCGTGGGGCTTGGACTCTGGGCCTCAGTGCTGTCCCTCAGCTCTTCAGCTCAAGGCTAGTGCTCTACTACTTGAGCTACAGCACCACTTCCGGTTTTCTGGTGGTTTATTGGAGATAAGAGTTTCACGGACTTCTTGCCTGGGCTGGCTTTGAACTGCGACCCTCAGATCTCAGCTTCCTGAGTAGCTAGGATTACAGGCTTGAGCCACCGGCGCCTGGAATAAGTAAATTTCTAATTGAGCGTTTTTACCCCCTCCTTTGTTTTCCCCTTACTATCTCTTCTCTTCAGAACACCCCAACTCATCCCTCCACTCCCTCTCTGATAAAGTGTCTTGTACATCTCATTGTTACAAGGAGTCAAATTGTATCCTTTCCTTGTATCTTAAATGAAGAAATGCTAGCTTGATTTATACTGATTCTACTTGTGTAGACACACCTAAAATCACTCGCTAAGTCCAAGAGCATATAAATGAAATGCACATCATTTATTGTCAGTTGGTATAGTTGTGTTCTACACATTTATTGACAGGTTACAAATTATTCTCAAACTTAACTACATTAAAAATATTTTCTTCATTTCTTATTTCCTTGGCCAGGAAATCAGCAAGACCTCAGTCAGCATTTCTCTCATAGGAGTTTTCACACAGGTTGGTGAAAAGTTGACCTGAGCTCCAGTCTTCTGAGGACTCACTCATCTGCTGAGGAATTGATGCTGGCTGTTGGAAAAGAATCAAGGAAGGATGCCTTAAAGTCTTAATATTTTATTCTTTACTTGGTAAAGAATAAAATATTACCTCCTGCTAGTTTGGTTGTTGAGAGTGTCTTTAAGAGCAAGCATTCCGTGGGGAGCAGGAGACACCATATGATTTTTACATACTGAGATTTCTGAGTGACTTGATATCCCTTGTACTGCATTTTGCAATTCGAATCTACCAGAACCTACCAGTTTTAAGAGATAGGAGGAGTGGTAAAGGAACTCTTAGAGACAAATGTATCTTCAACATAATTTGTTCCAAGCATTCCATCTAAGGCATATTCGACAAATAGTGAAACTTGTGTTGCCTGTAACTATGAATCTTTCTTTATGTGTGCATGTATACATATGTTTACATATGTGTGTATTTCTGTGTATAGTAACATACATGTGTACATATATAAGGGCAAATGCAGACATATATGCATATATAAATATACATATATAAATATATGTACAAGAATATATATATATATATATATATATATAAAGTGTTCAGTGATTTAATCTATAGTTCCCAGCACATTGTCATTCTCACAAAGTGTACATGATAAACTGCTCTGAGGATCTGTTCTCTATGATGGGCATCCTTTGTACTCACTTCCCCCATTACCTTGTTTTTCATCCCTGTGAACAACTTTGGTCTACTTTGGATAGCTTTGTTTTCATTACATGTAGTTACTTTTGCAGTCTCAACTCTCTAATAACGCTGCTTCAGCCTAGGGCTAAGATTTTAGGTGTGGACATTTAATATCCCTCCTGATTCAGACTGTACTTGATGTTTTTTTTAAATAAATATTTTGTTCTTCAAAGAAAAAGGTTGTTTGTCAAAGAAAAAGAACTTTTAGGTCACAAGTTAAAATATCTTATCCATCCCAATGATTCTTATGAGATAAAATTTGTAATAGTATTAAAAATGAACAGGAATTCCAGATCTGTTGTTTTGCCATTTAGAATGGCAAAGAATAACATCACATCACTCTTATAATTCTTAAAGAATGCAAGGGAAACTGTTGGTCCCTATCATATTCCCACAAATTCAGTAGATCCTGAAGGATAATAGTAGACAGCAGAGATTCTAAGTAGCAGACATGGAGAATGAAAGAGAAAGAGAGGAATGAGAGAGTGTGAAAGAGAGAGAGAAATATCATAATACTGAAAGTACATAACAGATAAACAAGAGATGTATGAGAATATTCATACTGCTATCTTTAGATTCTACATGTATATTTGAAAGTATTTCATGTATGATAACCCATCAATATAAAATATAAAATGATTTTGATAAAAAAATAAAAATGATGCAGAAGATATTATAAATGCAAAAACAACCTTCACAGAAGCAAACTCTAAGAAATATTTTAAAACTTTGAAAAGGATAAAGTGGCTGAAAGTAGAATAAATTTAGAAGTATAACAATTCAAAAAAATATAAAAGATATCCATATATTTCAGTATATAACCCAAAGCAGAAAGCAAATGTTGTTTAGATGATTTTTTTAAAACACAGTCTCTCAGGTGCTGTGAAGGTGGCTCAGTGGTACAGTGCTTGCCTTGCATGCATGAGGCCCTGGGTTTGATTCCTCAGCACCATGTAAGTAGAAAAAGACAGAAGTGGTGCTGTGGCTCAAGTGGTAGCGCTCGCCTTGAGCTCAGGGACAGCACTCAGGCCCCAGTGTTAAAGCCCCATGACCAACAAAATCAAAATAAAAAACAAACCAAAACAAAACACCGTTTCTCACTTTTGTGGCCTCAACTCTGTAATGACGCTGCTTCAGCTTAGGGCTAAGATTTTATGTGTGGATATTTAATATCCCTCCTGATTCAGACTGTACTTGATATTTTTTTAAATAAATATTTTATTCTTCATTTTCTTTTTTGTAAATTCACACGCATCTATAAAAAATGATTTGGCCATCCCAGTAACCTTCTCAATGTACCCCCTGATGACGACTTACAAAAAGTTGTATTATATTACAAGGGAAACAATGCTACAAGTAAGAAAAAAAATATCTAAATATTAATGATTAATAAAATTAAAAAACCAAACAGTTACCAGTGTTTTCAGTATTTGAAGTGTACTACATAGCAGATTTTACTATTTTCTCATATTCCTGTACATTTAAAACTGGATAAGATTATGATGTTTAACAAGAGTTTTATAGTCTATAAGTAGTCTTTAAAGTTATCCACTAGGATTATTTTATATGACTCATCTCAGCATTTGTATATGGCTTATATCACCATTTGTTCCTCACTAACATATAAAGTGAGGAAGCCCTAAATTTAACAGAAACTGTGTAATTAACAAAGTCTTAACTCTTCACTCTGCTTCTTTACACAAATACTTTGCAACTTCTCATTAGTAATATTTCTTTTTTTGTTTGTTTGTTTGTTTTTCTTTTTGTTTGGTCCAGTCATGGGGCCTGAACTCTGGGCCTGGGCGCTGTCCCTCAGCTCTTCAGCTCAAGGCTAGCGTTCTACCACTTGAGCCACAGCGCCACTTCTGGCTTTTTTCTTTTTGCTTATGTGGTGCTGAGGAATTGAACCCAGGGCCTCATGCATGCAAGGCAAGCGCTGTACCACTGAGACCACTTTCCCAGCCCTCATTAGTAATATTTCTATAAACTGAAATGGATATACTTAGTTGCATATGTCTGCTACTATAAATGTTAAATACTTTATAGAAAAGTTTTATGACCTGCCAAACAGTCATAATTTTGGCATATATAAGCAAATTCCCAAAATTAAATACTCTAAAACATTAAAACTTTTTAACAAACCTTAACACTTGCTGCAGTGTTCATTGTGACAGGTGCCTTGTATAGAATAATTGAATTCCTCCTCCTACACATCTCTTGAACAACAAATATCTGGAATTATTTTGTTTTTGACATGTGAATCTTGACTATTCTTAAATGTGTGCTTATGTAAGAAATACATGGTTCTAAAATTTCACAAGAATTCTTTTGAATTTACTTCTTTTGAATTGTCTAGTTTAAGAAAATCAGTTCCAATTTACATATAAAAATGTACTGTGCTCAATTCAGCAGCACAAAAAAAAAAATGGAACAATACAGAGAAGATTAGCATGGCCTCTGCACAAGGTCGACATGCAAATTAGTGAAGCTTTTCATATTTTTACAACATCAGACGCTGGAGAGGATGTGGCCACAAGGGGACCCTATGGCATTCTTGGTGGGAGTGTAAACTTGTTCTACCATTTTGGAAAGCAGTATGGAGGCTCCTCAAAAGACTCCATATAAAGCTCCTCTATGACCCAGCAATCCCACTTTTGGGGATTTACAAACAAGACCATACTAAAACTACCAGCACAACTATGTTTACTGCAGCATTATTTACCATAGCTAAGATATGGAGCTCACCCCGATGGCCCTCCGTAAATGAATGGATCATGAAAATGTGGTATATATACACAATGGAATTTTATGCCTCCATCAGAAAGAAGGACATCGCCCAATTTGTTAGGAATTGGAACGACTTGGAAAAAAAAATTAAGTGAAGTAAGTCAAGTCCAAAGAAACATAGGTCCCATGGTTTCCCTTATTTTCAATACCTAATATATGTCTGGGATAAGCAGAAAAGATCAAAAGCTATGTGCATATGACCAGATAAGATGCTATTAAGGGAAATGAACCCCAAGATAGCGACACAAGTGTTTTTATTTTCTTTCTTGCTCTTGTTTCTATCATACTTAAAATGTGAGATGTGATTTTACTGTTTCTCTTTATGTTCCTCCCCCTCACGCTATAACCCCTGTTTTCACTGTATTTGAAGTTGGTACACCTACATCCTGTGTATACGTTTCTCTAATTTGGTGAGAGGAAGGGAAATACAAAATGCTTAAATAGGGTTACAGGTTGACCCATTGTAACAATGAGATGTACAAGACACTCTGTTAAAAAGTGAACTTAGCAATTTAGGCAGGGGAAAGGGGAGGGTAGTGTATTGTGGAGTTTGGAGGGAAGGGATGGTGGGGGAAAACAAAGGAGTAGGTAACAATGCTTGTTAGGAAATGTATTCATTATTTGCTCATGCAAATGTCCTCTGTACAGTATTTTTACAATAAAAAGTATAAAAATGTTCTTAGATGGAAGAGTTTATTTTCTCTATTTTACCCATATAATATCGTTAACAAAGAAATTAATGCAGAACACTGATATGAAGGTATTTTGAATAAATGTGCTGCTTGTGGAACTAAGTTATCTCAGAACAGCCACAAGGCACCACTGGGATGCAGAAGCTTGCTATGTTTTGAGGCTAAGAGCAGGGCTAGGTCTCATCCCTTTTACTACCAGCATTGATAACACACTCAGATTTACATTTACTTTGCCCTGATTGGCTTCCAACAGTTATCCACAGATCTCAGGCTCCTGAGTAGATATCCCAAGTAGATAGGATTACAGGTGTGGCAAGCCAGCACAAGGGTTTCAGAATAAATTTAAAAGTAGAAGAAAATTTACTTCATCTTCTTTTGAAGCATTTTGGAGTGATTATATGTGAATTTATTTCGTTTGGGGATTCTTAAATGACATTATGTGAGGGTATTTAAAAGTTTTAGTAATTTTTTAAAAAAGGATACTGGAGCTGTGGGACAGAAGACCCCTTTTAAAACCAAGAGTCCAGAGTCATTTTTGGAAAACAAGGTAAAATAGATAAAATAATTATTTTTTTTAAAAAAAGCATAAGAACAGGTTTGCAAGTGTGGAGACTGCATCTGTCAGAGATAGTTACAAGACTAAGCCTTTTGTGTCTGTTTACAAAAATATCCCGTTAGTAAAAAAAAAAAAAGTAATTTTGGTAAATTGTCCTGGGCTATTGTCTAAACAGTCTTAAAATCCAAGGGTCCAAAGCCTGCCAAGCCTATGCAATGTATCCTTAAGCAGTCTGTGTAGGAATTTGCAGCCCAGCATGAGGTGAGAGACTCCCTTGGACCCACTGAGAGATTCTGCTGCTGCTGCTGCTGCACACCCTAATGGGTAAAGTTTAAAGACAGCCTGACAGTCACCTGGAGGAAATCTACATTGTCACATAGACGACCCCCACCATGGTAAAAGAAGACTGACCTCCTGCCTGGTTCCATCACCTGAAACTGCATGCCAGTTGAAAACTTAGATCTTGTGGGACCTTCATTTTGGTGAAATCCAAAAACCCTCTCTATTCCCACAGTGGATATTGGGGGCAAAGATATCACTGTCTTGCTTGCCTCAGGCACTTCAGTGCATAGTGACTGGAAATCCACTCTATAGTCACAGCCTTGTTTGGCTCTGGTTTGGTAATAATCTGAGTGTGTTATCAATGCTGGTAGTAAAAGGAATGAGACCCAGCCCTGCTCTTAGCCTCAAAACCTAGCAAGCTTCTGCATCCCAGTGGTGCCTTGTGGCTGTTCTGAGATAACTTAGTTCCACAAGCAACAGGAAAAAATGGTCAGTGTTAAACTCTAGCCACAAACAAGCTCAAGGAATTGTAAAAAAGAGGGGGGTAATAAAGAAGCTTTAGAAACAACTGGGAAAAATTGGTATCCTCTGGATTAAAAAAAATGTACGGGCCTTTCGTACAGTTAATTTTGTTACTCATAATTGGATCTTGTATAAAGAGATCAGGACAGTCCATTTTTGGTTCTGAGATCCCAATACCAAACTGTAAATATAAAAGACTCTGCCAATTAGGGGACCAAGATTGGTCCCCGATGCTCTAGAAGAGGAGGGAATGAAGAGCTAAAGTGACTCCATTTTAAGATTAACCCCACCAACTTGTAGCTGTGCTGCCCTCAGAATAACCCTGAATGAGGAACAGTTCTCAAAAAAAAAAGCAGGTTACCATCAACCCTGCCCACCCTTAAGGAACAGAACAGTTGCCTAATTGTTCCATCATAAAAAGTTAAGTGGGATCAACCCACTGAACTTGTGAACTTGCTTGTGTGGAAATCTCCTGAACTTGTGAACTTGCTTGTGTGGAAACCCCCTAGACTTGTTTGTTTGATACCATAAAAGCTGTGCTACTTTTGTGCTAGGGGCCTCTTAGAGTCACCGGTTACAGAGTGCGTGGAGGACCAATCTCAAGCTTTTAATAAACATCTTTGCTGTTTGCATTGATTGTGATCTCTGGTGGTCTGTGAGGGGGCAACTGAAATCGGGTACTTCATTTCCACTGGAATTTCTTGAATGTCTTCACACTTTTTAAGGAATATTTTCTTATGTATAAAGTATGTAGCTACAGGATTTTATTTATTTCCTGTTATCAATTTTTATACTTTTTATTTAACCTTTTCTACAATCTTGTTATTGCCTCTTGTTGCTAAAACCTCATGAGTTTCTCACTATTTGAAAGACCTATTTTGTTCTCTGGGTAAATTTCCATTTTATTTGATTTCTGAGCTGCCCAAATAATACATTTTAAAGCTCATGACATATACTTCTGGCTGCTTTGTCATGTACACTTTTCCATTACAGTCACAGTCCTGTTTGAATTGTGGTAATAAAATACTTGTGGCTGGATAAATGATGAAACAAAGAAGGATATTCAGCTCACTTCATGGTGAATATATAGTCCAAACCACATGGTTCTATCAAGGTAGGTGGCAAAAATAGGGATGAGCCATGTTCACAAAAGGGAAATGGGCTGGGCACCAGTAGCTTATTCCTGTAAATCTAGCCCTGTGAGAAGGTGAAATCCATAAGATCACATTTCAAGGCTCGCCTGCACAAATTTTTGCTTGCTTTTTAATCTTGTGCATCATTTTAGTAATTTAACAAATGTTCTGACAGGAAGGAGGCAAGAGGGAAATTAAAATTTAATGGACTGCATTTTAAGGCATGGTTCCATTAACAAGTTTCTTTTGTTGTTGTTTGTATTGCTTTTTAATTATCTTTAATAGTTGTACAAAGGAGTTCCATTTAACAAAGCAGTTTATGGATACAATAAATTTTTGATCAGTGTCACAGCTTTGAACATTCTCACTCATCCCTTCACTACTCACTCCTTCCCTTACTCTTCTTAATTTATGAGGATATATAGTGGAAACTTGACTGTCTTCTCCCCCTCTTCTCCTCTTCATTAGTAGAACCTCTTCTTCTCACTTCCCCTCCCCACCCACTTGAGTATCATTTCCTGGCATTTATTTTGTTGAAATTTAAATTAGCCTTTCAAAGGAACTGTATTTTTTGAGAACTCTCATGAATCTAGCATACATGTAGAATTTTTATATGTATTTCTGATTTATGAAAACAAAATTATCATTTGTACTATCTTCTATCATAGACAAAGAAAAAAGTTACTGTTTTGTATGGTAATGTCCTTGCAACAATTTTTTCTTTTCTTTTTTGGGTACAATTTTTATTGTAAAAATGCTGTACAGAAGGATTACCGTTACATAAGCAAAGTAAGTACATTTCTTATTGATCATTGTTGCCTCCTCCTTTGTTTTCCCCCTATCATCCCTTTCATCCCACCTGCACAACTTATACTGACCCCCTCCAGGCTGAAGTCGTAAAATTCGTTTTCATCATAGTGTTTTGTACATCTCATTGTTACAAGAGATCAACCTGTATCCTTATTTAACCATTAGGAACACAAATATCTTTTTTACTTTCTAATATATTGTAATGTACCATGCGATTTTTTGTTGTTGCTTTGTATGTTCCTTCCCCATGTTATACTTCCTATTTTCACTCTATTTGATGTCAGTGTCCTGCATCTTGTATATATGCTTCTCTAATTCAGGGAGGGGAAGAGAAAATACAACATTTTTTATCTTTTGTAAATTTTCATGTGCTTGTTTAAGTTTATATTTTTAAGGTTTTTAAAATTTTAATTGTAAAAGGGATGTACAGAGGAGTTACAGTTACATGAGTAAGGTAATGGGTGTATTCCTTTTTTTTTTTTTTTACTTTTTTATTGTAAAGGTACTATAGAGAGGGATTACAGTTACATGAATAAGGTAATGAGTACACTTCATATTGATCATTGTTGTCCTCTCCTTTGTTTTCCCCTGCTATCCCTTCTCGCCCCACCTCCCCAACTCCTCCCTCCCCAATACCAAAGTTGTAAAGTTTGTTTTCAACATAGTGTCTTGTACATCCCATTGTTGCAATAGGTCAACCTGTCTCCTTGTTTCAGCATT